CAAAACTCTAAGTCATCGGCTCCTGGTCCAGATGGTATTCATTATTATATGCTTCAACATCTCCATCCTTCCACACTTGATATTGTTTTATACCTTTTTAATCATATTTGGTTTGAGGGCTACTTTCCATTGGACTGGAGAATGGCAACAATCATACCCATACTCAAGCCCGGTAAGGATCCATCCTGTGCGGCTAGTTATAGGCCTATCGCTTTGACTAGCTGTTTTGGAAAGACTCTTGAACGAATAATTAATAGAAGATTGATGTATTTCCTTGAATTAAATAGACATCTAGATGTGAACCAGTGCGGCTATCGTTCGTCTCGGTCCACTCTTGACCATTTAGTAAGGCTGGAGACAGTCGTGCGTGAGGCCTTCGTTCATAGACAACATTGCCTATCTGTATTTTTTGACCTCGAAAAAGCCTACAATACAGCCTGGCGTTTTGGTACACTGAGGGACTTGTATGATATGGGTATCCGTGGTCGAATTCTTCGTACCATTGAGAGCTACCTCAGCAGGCGCACCTTTCGTGTTCAGATAGGAACAGCTTTATCTAAAGTGTTTGTCCAGGAAAATGGCGTTCCTCAGGGAGGCGTTCTTAGTGTCACTTTGTTTATTGTCAAAATTAACTCCCTTGCATTGGCTATCCCCCCATCGGTGCAATATTCACTCTACGTAGACGACCTTCAGATCTCTGTGTCGTCTTGCAATCTGTCACTGTGTGAGCGACGAATTCAGCTAACTATCAATAAGCTATCAACCTGGGCCAATCAAAATGGGTTTAAGTTTTCCTCAGATAAAACAGTTTGTGTGTGCTTTTCTCGGAAACGCGGACTACTTCCAGAACCTGTTCTTACACTAAACAATTCCACAGTTTCTGTGAAGCCTGAGCACAAGTTTCTGGGTCTTACATTTGACAGCAAACTAACCTTTGGTGCCCATATTAAGAATCTAAGATTAAAAGCTCACAAATCACTTAATATTCTTAAAGTCCTGTCCCACCGATCTTGGGGTTCTGACCGGACGTGCCTTTTGAGGATATATCGCTCGATAGTGCGATCACGACTGGACTATGGCAGTATTGTTTACGGTTCAGCTAGGCCTTCCATTCTAAAAATGCTCGACCCTATTCATCATCTTGGGTTGCGATTGGCGACGGGTGCCTTTCGCACGTCTCCTGTGCCAAGTCTGTATGCAGAGGCCAACGAGTTGTCTCTTGAGAAGAGAAGATTTTCACTGGGCTTTATGTATTCCCTGAGAGTCAGGTCCATCTCTGATCACCCTGCGCGAATGGCCGTGGAAGACATGCGCTCTGAAAGGGTGTTTCAAAACAAAGCCACAATTGTGCCTCCCTTCTCTTTGAGATTGAAAAGGGCCAGTGAGAACATGGGACTCGATTGGAGGCCCCCAGTAGTGCAGTCTGCTGTTGCGGGAGCACCTTGGGAGCACCCTGTCATTAAGTGTGACCTTTCACTCACGCGATACAAGCTGACACTCCTAATGGTGTGTTTCTTCAGGAATTCTTAGCACTGCAAAGTCAGTATTCCGAATATGTAAGCTTCTACACAGATGGTACAAAGACGGAATCTGCTGCTGGGTGTTCCATGATTGGCCCAACAGTTCAACTTGTTAGGCGAATCAACTCCTCTGCTTCTATTTTTACTGCAGAGCTCTATGGTCTGCTTCTTACTATAGGCTTCATACTTGATAAAAAACTTTCTCGCTCCATCGTATACACTGACTCCCTCAGTGCATTGCATGCACTGTCTTCATTAACACCCCTCAAGCACTTCTTGCTCCTTGAGCTGCGAAATAAGGTTGTTGCTGCCTCAAGACAAGGATACGAAATTATTTTTTGCTGGATTCCCAGCCATGTGGGCATTCCAGGGAATGAGGCCGCAGATCGTGCAGCAAGTACTTGCGTAAAGCGAACCGTTGACCTCCAGAACATTCCTTATGCAGACTACAAAGGCCTCCTCAGGCATCGCATTAAGTGCAAATGGCAGGCTGAATGGGACCAAGAAATCAGCAACAAGTTGCACATGATCAAACCTCTTTTGAGCGAATGGCAGAGTGCACGCCACCAGGAACGCTTTTTTGAGGTTGTACTTTGCCGGCTCAGGATTGGTCACACTCATCTGACTCATGGCTACCTCCTTCGTGGGGAAGATGCCCCCACTTGTGAGCAGTGTGACAATGCCTTAAGCATCCTACATATTCTAGTTGAATGTCCTGCTTATCACGAAGAACGTCTTTTGTATTTTTCGCAACTGTATCAAGAACAAGTCCCAATACACCCAGCTCTGCTCTTAAGTGATGATTCACTAGTGACACATACTAATGTTTTCAAATTTTTAGATAGTATCGGCCTTCTACACCGATTGTAGCTTTCTTAATTTACAAATCATGCCCATCACCCTTTTACCTTTTGGTACCCCATTACCATCTTTTATCTGATCACTGGCTACTAAAGCCTCTTTTTTCTCTCCAAACCTTTTCCAGCAATAGTCCCGTTTTTGGCGCTCTATGGCCTTAGTAGCTTTTGCGCCATAAACACCAAATCAACCAACCAACCAACCAAATCTTTATATGCATGCAGCCAAAGCACACACTGTAGAAAACACTTGTGTGAAGCCTGCGTTCACAATGCGGTCCCCGTCAAACTTTCAAGGCGTTAACGTATTCCACAAATTAAATTTTCAACGAAACGAATTCGTTTTGCAAAACGCTGGCAAACTTACGTTGCGTTTTACATCATTCACCTTTGTCGTCCGATGAATCAGTAGTCAGCACTACACAAACCTCAATGAGCTTGTCGTTTGTTCTCTTGCCGTTGGGGCGATCGCTGGCGGTCGTGGCGGCGGCACAATTCTTTCTCAGACCGTTGGCTGCTGCCTCCGTGCTCGCGGAAACGTCGTTCCCTTTGTGCCAAGGTGAGGTTTTGAATTTTAATGCACGGCAATGCTGAATAAAGGTCTATTACCGTCTTCATAATCTCAGCAACGGTACCGTACGAGCCACAACAACACCACCACTTTCAAGCTTCATAACACCGGCACAAATAGAAGCCAATTCTTGCATCTCTTCAAGCGTTACATCGGAGACGTTAAACGCCAGCTCACTGTGCTCTTCGACCCGGTCCTGTCACCGAATGGGCTCATCTAACAGCACGAAAGTATTCGTGTGCGCGTTGATCAAGTGACCGATCGCATGTCAAACCCCAGACGCGGTCGATCCGACGAGCATCGCGGCCATGTTCTTTCGAGTTTAACTCGCCAAGGGTACGGTTGTCGAGTTAAAACAATGCAAATAGTCCCGTGCATTCTTGTTCTTGCGTCATTTTGTCGTCACAACCCGAACTCGAAAAATGACTGTTAGCGGCAAACAGAGGCTTTCTAGTTTCACGAACGTTTCCATGGCAAATGACGTTGAATCGTCACGCGCAATGAAGCCAATGGGAAAGCGAGGTACCTAGGGTGCCTTCTAGAGGTACCTATGTAGGGACGTGTAGAAACGTGAAAGCCGTTTTTTTTTGCACGAGCTCTTCTGCAAATAAAAATAAGTAAAAAAGAATGCCCGAGATTATGCCGTCGCGTGCATTTCTTCAGCACCGAAAGAGAAGAGCATGGCTTATGGAGACTATACCGGCGTAATCACTGCAGTGAGCAAAGGAGCAAAGCATTATTAAAACTGCCCGAAGAAACTTTGCTGCATCATCCAGAGAATGCTCACAACCGTTGCACTCTGCGTCGATCTCATGACTTGTCATATACTACCACAGAGTCGTCGTCAGCTCTGTATCCATTTGGAGTCTCCTTCACAGGCAAACAGGAAATTTCATTTGCAGCTTATGTTCACGACGGCTTCACAAAGGATAACGGTGTCGCAGCGTACCTTCACATAATATTTTCTTATCGTAATGCCATCCGCATCGTGCAGAAACAGGGAAAGCAACCACGCAAGCGAGACACAAACACCACAAGGTCGTTACCGCGGTTTTCGCCATGTTTGTTTTCAAAGACCGTAGCGAAAGACTTCGAGAAAAAAAAGCTGAGATATCTTAGCTAAATTTACTTTACGTCATAATTATTGAAATAATCATTTGTATTTTATAAAAGGATAATATTATTTTTCTCTGTTTCCTTCCATTTTCCGGAAGGTAGCCTTTTCTCCGTTATTCGCTCGTTCTAAGTCCCGGAGGAAAGGAAGAAGATAACAAAAAGAACAGGGGGAAATGCAGGGATTTCTTCGCCCCAACTGGGTAGACACGTCACCGCGACGTAGGGCATCGTCAGATTCTAGCTGACCGCGTGCGTGAACCTGAACGTTGGGGCGGAGCCTCAAACAAGAATCATTCTAGTTTGAGGCTCCGCCCCTTCTTTCTCGATACGTCACAACTCGAAAGGTACCCGTTTGCGACCAGAATAGCACCCCTGGATGCAGCAAGATCCCTTTCCTCTAATCATCTTAAATGCAATACAAAAGAAAAAAAAAACAGGGTAATAACTTGTAACGGAACCAATAAATACCCCATATTGTTGCCGTACTGCCTTCTAAAATTGCAAATTGCTAAACTAACTTGACCCGCTTCTATACACAGGTATTCCTTCAGGTGCCGTAGTGAGTCAAGCTGACGATGGGGGCGCTTTTGAAATGGTCTATCGAGCACGCAAATGTCTCTGCCGAATTGAATAAGGAATGAAAGCACAGTGGCATGTGACATTGCGATATCCCAATATATTTAGCAGGAGGCATTCCTTGCTAAATTTAGTGTATCATTCCATACACAGTATAGATTAGCTGTGAGACCTCGCCAATAACAACAGTTGCCATAAAAGAAAGCATTTTCTGCCCATTGTGACATCTTCATAAGCATACACTATAGTCCCGTTGCAACTGTAAGTACGGGCCGTGACTGTGTATGTCTCCCCACTATCACTTTATTCATAAGAAATATGCCTTTGTTTTCTAACTAGAAAGCACACAAAGCATCCTACCTCCACGTTCAGGATGCGGACCTCCGGCATCCTCTTTAAGGCAGTGGTCAGCATCCTGTTGAGGGTTTGGCAACGAGAAACCATAGTTGGGCTGCCCGCGGCTGTACCTTGAACGTGAAGACAGTCGTGGCAACTTGGAGCAGAAGCTTGACAAGTACCTGTATCAATAATGAATGGCAAATGAAACATTAGAACTGCCGTTTGATTTTTCGTAATCTTCTCATTGCAGTATTGAAAAGCTTAAAAAGGAACAGAAACAAAATTCTAGTGCCTATTTTATTGCTTAGGATGTTGCATCAGCACCTGAGAAACATCAGTTTTAATTGTAAATGCAAGAAAGGACATTTTAAAACGATTTCCTATTTGCACCTGGTAATTGGGGGGCCGAAGCTTAGTTGGGGGATCGTGACAATCCGCTCCTCACACAGTGACGCCACCCTCAACAGTACACCAAACTCATAGACACCCTAGCCGTGAACGCAATGACGCCATTGCGAAGAGCCAGCGCAAAGTTGGCGAGTTTCCTAAGTAGGTGGCTCCCGCGATTGGTTTGGTACCGCCAAGCTGTTCCTGTGTTTATTCGTCACATTTTCGTGCAGGGTGCCGCTATATCGCGCAACACAGCTGTGCCAACAGCCTTTGCAGAGGGCTCCGGCTGCGAGAAGCCGACCCACGGGTTTCCGAACTATGAAAATTCCAAAGCCTGGATCCGCCTCGCGCGTCCGTCGTCTCTCATGTGGACGCCGGTGGAAACAGATTGCTTGTACATTGGCCATGTTTGCGATGAGGACTAAGAAAGGCGGCCCACTGACCTCAGGAGTCTGGGCCTTCCTACCAAGAATATTCGGTTGCTACCAGGGGTTGTGCGGAGTATTTTAGAGCGCAGCTCTTAGGGGCCCGTTTCCGGCTTGAGCGGCGTCGCCGTCGGCGTCGGCGTCGGCGTCGGCGTCGCCGTCGCCGTCGCCGTCGGCGTCGGCGTAACCGCGCGGTGCATCATGGGAAATGTCCCATAATGCACCGCGCGAGCCCCCCACCAAGGTCACGTGACCTCGTGGGGGTCACGTGACCCCCCGAAGTCACGTGACTCCCCTGAGGTCACGTGGCCCCCTCCTCGAGGTCACGTGACCCCCGCCGATGTCGCGTGACCCCCCGATGACGTCATCGTCACTGATGACGTCACCGGCATCCACATCGTCATCGTCATCATCACTGATGACGTCACCGGCATCCACATCGTCATCGTCATCATCACTGATGACGTCACCGGCATCCACATCGTCATCGTCATCACTGATGACGTCACCAGCATCCGCATCGTCATCATCACTGATGACGTCACCGGCATCCACATCGTCATCGTCATCATCACTGATGACGTCACCGGCATCCACATCGTCATCGTCATCATCACTGATGACGTCACCGGCATCCGCATCGTCATCGTCATCATCACTGATGACGTCACCGGCATCCACATCGTCATCGTCATCATCACTGATGACGTCACCGGCATCCACATCGTCATCGTCATCATCACTGATGACGTCACCGGCATCCACATCGTCATCGTCATCATCACTGATGACGTCACCGACATCCGCATTGTCATCGTCATCATCACTGATGACGTCATCAGTGACGTCACTGATGTCGTCACCGGCATCCGCATCGTCATCGTCATCATCACTGATGACGTCATCAGCGACGTCACTGATGACGTCACCGACATTCGCATCGTCATCGTCATCATCACTGGTGAAGTCATCAGTGACGTCACTAATGACGTCATCGGTACCCGCATCGTCATCGTCACTGATGACGTCATCAGTGACGTCAGTGATGACATCATCGGCATTGGGGGTCACGTGACCCCCAAGGTAACGTGACCCCCCCCCTGGTTAGTTTAACCCCCCCCCCAGTGCCCTTCCCTCCTCCTCCTCAAGAGCTGCGCTCTAATTCGGCGTTACAGGGAGTTGTAAGCGGCTTTCATTTTTTCGCAGAAAAGAAAAGCAGAAGAGATCAATTGAACCACACAAAACGCGAAGCAAACTGGTAAGTGAGCATGCTGTGCGCATACCTCCAAGTTGGCCAATCATAATTAAATGCAAGACATTTCTTGGCAACCCCAATTACCTTCAGACTTCATTGGGCGGACGGTCGGTCTGTTGGATGGTTTGTAGGGTTCTAGCCACAATCGCCTATCTGTCACCATATGCGAGTGGCTACTCGTCCTCGCTGGCATCTTTCGAGTCCCTTCGGTGGTCAATATCCTCGTCGCTATCGAGTTCATAGATCATGGCGGAACGCACCACGGACTACAGGAGCCGAAATGTCACGATGGTCGTTGTTAACCTGTGCAATCTTCCGCCGCTCTGAAACGCGAGATTGTAACACGTAAAAGCCACCGCATGGCAGCACTCAAAATCACGCCAGCCTTTGGCTGTGCTGAGGAGCGCAACGTGACGATTGCGACAGCTTTCCCATGGCGCATCGCAAGCCTTGATAGCCGATTTCGAAGCGCTCGCTAGAATGAATGTTTGAAATGAAAAATATAGCCACCCGTTCAAAATACGAACACGCCATTGTTATTTACAACTATCATAGGTAATATTTCACCCATTTGGAAAAGGTTTTCATATATTTTGATCTTCGTTTGTGTACATTTTGATCTTCGTTTGTGTACCCCTTTAAGCATAGTTCATGCAGATGAAATTCTGTTCCTGCTATAGCTGCCTACTGTATACCTGCAGCCAAAAAGCAGTTTTTAAGAAAATCGCAGGTGACTCATCCAGATAGCGTTGTGGGTTCCCCCGGTGCAACCACCAGTGCACGCACAGTGAGCACACTATGATTGAATAGACGAAGGAAATCTTGCCCAGCTTCAAAAGGGTGAACTGCAATATATAAACTTATAAACCATGAAGTAAAGAAGAATGCTCTCATGGGTGCAAGGAAAAACTCATATTTTGCCCCAATCTGATACAAAGTTACCAAAATTAAATAAATCAATAAAAAAATTGTTTACATCTGACTTACGACAGACTTGCCGTTCTGGTGCGCGCACGCGTTTTAAATATATTTTGCGTGCCAAGCTGGCAGGCGCATCTGCGTACGGGTTTTCACCTTCCTACGAAGCGGTGTGAAGCACACCAGCCCCGTTCGCCAAATGGGGCGTGCACGGGGCGCCGAGGACTGGTACTACTTATGGAGTGGTACTACTATGCAATTTTAACATCAAACACTGGCATTAAGCGAAACTAACGCACCTTGATGTCCCTGCAGACGTCCAGAGGGCTTCACCCGTTGGAAAGGTCATTCCCGCCAACATAAACGACAGCAAAGTCACAGAGACGCCAGCCTCAGCTCACGACACAAATCTGCAAGCCTGAGAGCGGTCGCGCCACCAAAACTGAAAGTACAGACATCAATGTCACTGCGGAGTGGAAGTCTCGTACGATTCAAGAACTTCATCTGGCTATCGTCGATTACAACACCACGGAGCATGACGACCGCGTACACGACGAAACAAAGGAGCGCAGCGACCGTAGAAGCAACGAGGCACCTGGTGCTCTACAACTACGACCAACAACACACGAAGCCGTTCCAGAGGTTCCAGCCATTCAAATGAAATTGCATTGGATTGTGCCAGCTGGCGCTGGGCTAGCTGCAACGGCTAGCCGGCTAGCCCGACTAGTGTTGCCAGGTCACATGGCACGTCATCACCTTAAATTAGAGAAATTGTAAAAAAAAAAAAAAATTACCCCATAACTTTCTTGTCACTACTACAAAGCGTTGCTGGGGGCGTTTCTATGGACGACTACATGGCATTGGATTTCGCATCGATAAAACGACCGTTCAAAAATTGGGACTTGAATTTAAACTTCCGGTTATTGGATATTGACACGTCTCGAGGCGCCTGCAGCAGACGACGTACGCAAGTGGAATAATGGAAGTTTGTCGTCAATGGCGTAGCCAGAAAACTTTTTCAGAGTGTGTTTTTCTTTGTTCAAACCGTTTGAAAAACAAAAACGTACAACATAAAAAAGAGAAAAGGAAAGAAATTGCACAAACAATTTTGTATCTATTTTCACTGCTGATCTTTCAGTTTTCAACAAAACTCCAAAGAGCGGAAGAACCGGATAAAAGCATCAGGCAGGCAAGTTTACTTCTGTTACTGACATATATTTACATACTGTCGAACATGTCTTTTTGTCGAATAAATTTTCAGCCGTGTTTGAGACTTTGTGTTAATGCTCCTTCTTTCGTCTTGGGGTTCTTTGTCGTTACGTTCAATTTACACTGCTCGTCTCTGCACTTACTTTCTGTTCAGCGGTATTTATAAATATTTGGTGAAGGGGCGAACATACCTTTGCAGTAGTTCACAGCGCTTCCTGCGCTGCCCGTGATCGCCGTGATTTCGAAGAGGCCGAAATGGCCAGAACTTACCTTTGCACGCGTATACGTTGTTCAACTTTACTTGAAGGAAGCCATTTCTTTGTAAAATAACCGACGGAGCGTGAATTGTCGTATTGTTCCTACCCAACAAGACAAAAGCGTTGCATTTGCGACTAGGAGTTTCACCACAAAAACTGGGCGCTCGCGTTGTCTGCACGGTTTCGACCCGGAAACGCAAGCAGCGTGCTCATCACAGCGTATCCCCGAGTGAAGTCATAGCGTGGTATGTTTAATCGGTAATGCCATGCAATGTGCATAGCAACACTGGACATCATGATCGAGTGGTACGAGTTTTTGTTTTAAGAGCGCTTGACTCCATATTTATATCGATTCAAAACGCCACTCGTTTTTTGTTCAGCAAGCCTGCCACAACCAGTTAGATACCGCTTAACTTCCTACTCGTCTAAAGTTAATTAAATATTTACATAAATGAAGACGTCTTTGAGACTTTGGGACCGCGCGTTTTGAAGCGTAACTAGCGGCTCATACACGGGGAACATTCAAACTCGCGGATTTTATTACAATACACAGCGCTGTATGGAGAGTTTTTCTTTTTATTCTTTTTTTTAAGGAATTATACATAGCGCAAGTGAATAAAACAATGTGCGACTGTATTTTCATCTGTCGATGAAACTGTCATGTGAGGAAGCGCGCGCGTGCGTAGTTGCGCGTGCTGGCGTTCTCAGCAGTATAAATGTTCTGGGCACCTACGCCCCACTTCGGTTATACGCTGATCTTTTAATCACATAAAGCGAGTGCGTTAAGCCTAGCATTCCCTTTGATGCTTCGATATATTTACCGCACGCTGACGTCCAGTATCGGCATTCGTGACTCGTGCCGCAATGTATTTTCAAAGCGCCGTGTGGTGCTCCTATCCTGCCACTTATTTTTCCTCTTGTTTCCAAAAGCTTCTAGCAGCTGGCCAACCCTCTGAACCTGTGTCGCCTCGCGTTCTCTCCTGCCTCCTTCCTTTATTTGTTACAAATTCGCTGTTTCCGACGCGCGCCACGGTCGATCGTGAAATCCGAGTTCTCGCTGGTACTGTACTCTTTACAGCTTAGTACTAAGCAGCATACTTGCTATGCTCATATGACCACATTCCACAGCACTGATTAGTGTGGCATTGATGACAGCATTTCAATGCAGAGCGCTACTCAAATCGAAAAGCAATGGACCTTTTCGGTGTGTCTCGACGACTGGAATGCGAACTGAAGGGAACTTTCCCTACACCTAGGGATTTTGACAGCGTGCAAGGAAAAGGGGGATATCATGGAGGATTCAATTCCCAAAGCATACCAATAAAACAAAAGCATATAAGTGAAACGCATAAGAATTTCCCCTTTTATTAGTTTTTCTTTACATTTTATTTTAATATTTTCCATGCATTTTGCACTACTGTGTCCTTCTAATCTGAAAACACTGCAACAAAAACGAAATCAGTTGTAACAAACGTTTCACAATAGAAAGCACCACATCTCGGAGTACCTGCTCATTATGTGAGCATAATTTTAACACGGTGTTTGTACGTTTTTGGTACAACAAAGTTCCCCCAGAACCATATATCTGTATATAAAAGAAAACACGTTAAAAGAACATTTGGAGAAAATCGATGAGCAAATCGGCAACGCTGAGTCCTCAGTGCTCTTCACGAAAGCCCCATCGCTATCAACCTCACTACTCCCCGCAGGGGGCACCTGTGAAAACAGGTGTTTGGAGCACGACCTCCTCTATAATGGGCGACCAACGCAGCTCTCCCCTCTCTACGGCAGCGCGCGTACCAAAAAATCACGAGTACGTCACAGTTGGGCCGTGCGAAAAATATCACGTGACCACGGTTAGGGACAGGTAAATCCGCCCGGTGCCGCCACGGTTTACCCTCAGATACGGCGTGCGGGTGGTGCCGTTGATGGGTTCGTGTACGTGTGGATTTATCTTACCCTTTTTTTAACCGATCAGAACCTAAAAGTTTCGACGTTATTATACTTTATTTTATCTTATATGCGAGCTAAGATCATAGATGAAGTTATACACGCGTGAAGTTAACCCGAAGAAATGCACGAGCGTGCATTGCAAGAGAGGAATGCACTGTACAGAAGGTACTGAGCTCTAGGCTCGCGCGTCAAGCATTGCCTTCGCTTGCGCAAAAACGAAGTAATGATCAATGGTAATTACAACTTTTTAACCGTCGGACTACTCAGCAGATGAAGCGTTAGTTGAGTGAGCGATTTGCAGCTGGCGTGGTTCATGCAAGCGTGAAGTTACAAGATCATGCCGCTCTAAAATTACTGTAGAATCAGAACTGAAGTAATGAGATACGCGGGCGAGCTCGTGTGATGCGACGGGCAGTTGGAAAGTGATTCCCTAAATTTTCCTTCTTGGCAAATATACCTTGTAACTTAAACAGCGGTTATTGCCACATTTCCCACGGACATAACGAGCTCGATCGTAGCTCATTCGCAATTGTTCTAGATTGCGATCGCGGTATAGTACATACAACGTTTAATTTCGGTCACATTACAGCACCTCGGGCAGTTGGAATATATTACCATCAATCCGCTTTGGTTCACGGGGAACGCACAGAAAATGCAATTCTTCGGACGAGCTAAAATGTATGTCGAACTCTTGGCATAATCAAACTGGTATGGCTCGAATGAAGCAAATTGAGACTTGATTGAAAATGACTAAATAGTTTTAAAGATTATCAATAACCAATTAGTTTGAAATAATATTATGGTATCTTCTGCATGAAAACAGTTGCATGCATTCTTCGTGCCTGCTGTCATCTACGGACATTGTAAGAATCGAGGAGCCGAGATCAAGAAACAATGCAAGGTTTCAGATGCAGCTGCTTGCAGGTACCACTTTCCTGCTTTCCATTACTGTGGAGCAACTTGCTTTGTTTATTTAAAAAAAAATATTGCACAACGAAAAACAAACTTGCACTAAATGCTCCACCTCATATTAAACTTTATGGACCTCCCTTGACACTGGCTTTGGGCATGCGCTTCAGTCTTCCCATTTGCATAGTTAGACAAGAAGGGCCTCATGAACTATTAAATGACTAGTGTCACTAGGGTCAGCTTGTGTGCTGCAGCAGTGTTCTGGTGGCACTCAAAGAGTCGGTTCTTCATCACAGCTGGTAGGACCGCGCTCGGTCCTACCTCGATCGCAATAAACCATGCGATCGAGGGATGCTGCGCAGCTGTGCGCACCAAAACCATGTGTTTACCGTCCTCCCCGCGCTCCTCAGTCCGCCCGATGGATGGATGAATACGGCTGAGCCCTTTGGATCGGGCGGTAGCTTACGCCACCTAGCCATTTTGTTTTACCATTTAAGCTTAGAATATTTAAATGTGAAACCTATATTCACTCCGCAGTGCAAAGAAAGTGAGGCTATGAAACCCCCTTGCCATCAGTGAATAAGAAAATACCTAGTTTTCTCTCGATTTCTGCCACCATTCACTTAATCTTTGCTTGGTAATCTCTACAGTCTTGAGATCCACTCTCCCTTCGCTGTCTCTAAAACCCAATGACTTTATTAAATCTATGTTGTCTTCGGTAGGCGGTGAAGCCCTTTACAGTAGAGTATCAAGTGCTCAGCCGTCTCGTCCTCCTCTCCACAAGCAGTGCACACTGTATCAATTTCCTGGTACTTCACTCTGTATGTTCTGGTTCGCAGAACACCCGTTGTTGCCTCAAACAGCAATGAGCTTCCCCTAGAATTGTCATAAATGCTTTCTTTGGCAATAACTCTTTTGTTTAATCTATAGCTTTCCAGAGCCGTCTTTGTCTGCATTCCCTCTAGCCACCGATCTCTTTCTGTGGCCTTAACTTTCTTCTTAACTGAGACTTGCTCTTCCGTATCTTCGCTATAGCCCAAAAACTTTCCTCTTAATTTCCTAGTGCGCTGTCTCCACGATTGAGGATGAAGCGCAGCGCCACGAGGCGCGGCGGGACTTACGAGAACTAGAAAATAATAAACAAGCAAAACAAAAAGTGGCGCGCTGGGGCTGACGCAGGTGCGTTGGTTGCCCCATTATAGAGGAGGTCGTGGTTTGGAGAGTGGCGTCTCCACGTACCCCGAGCCCCGCAGGGGGTGCCTGCACATTAGGTGCTAGGTGCTTGGTGAGTAGCGTCACCACGGACCCCAGCCACTTTGGCGACACCACAGACCCTGAGTAAAAAGTGGCTAAAACCCACCCACGTCTGCCTGTGCATGGCGAGCCCGTGTCCAGGGAAAAAAGGGCATCCTGGTGGTTGAGCTGAGCCCGGGGTAGGTTTGGACCCTTCGGGGCCCCCCGGGCGAGTCAACGCACCACTTTGGCCCCTGCTTCCTGTAGACGGGTGTCCTGGCTTGGCCCGACCAGTCAGTCGCCACATCTTCTACTATCCCCTCTTATCTTTCTCTTTTCTCTGCTCTTTTTTCATATTCACCATCTTTGGCGGCAAGGGCTAACCTTGGGTGGCGATAGACCCCTTGTCTGGACCCACACTAGGTTATAGTGTCTTGGTAGCACTGATAGCGTAATGTCGTCAGCAAAACCTT